GAATGCCAGAATTATAACAAAAAGTCCAGTTGAAATAATAGACTAGCAGTTCTAGTAAGGCTTTGAAATGAAGTAATGCCTGTTGCAAGTTAACACTGTCTATGCTGTTGTATTCAAAAGACAGACAATATTTCTTCATTATTGAACATCATTCTCTACTTAGAATTGTTGCTACTCTGGAGACGGATGCTTCTCTGGATTATGTGTATAACTTTCCATAGCCACAATAAGTATTTTGTTTTTAACAGTAAAAATCTTCACATGTGCAACACATCCATATTGCTGCACAGTTACATTGTTCATAAGGTCCACTTTTAAAATAATCTTAGCAGAAGGTACTGTGTTATGTTCAGCTATATTAATGTAAAACTTGTAAGAAACACTGTACCATAAATACTTGTTTTCCTGTGTATTTCATGTTGCACATAGCAGTCTTATGTCCACATATATGTTCTCCAGAGCTGCTAAAAGTAGGAGGAAGACAAGTTAATAAGATGGGTTGTGTGCTTTTAATATAATTATTCGCTTTATTTAGGCCAAGATTGAAAAATGTGGATCGAAGTAGTGCTCAGCATTTGGAAGTTACCGTTGGAGATCTGACAGTCATAATTACAGACTTTAAGGAGAAAACTAAGTCACCACCTGCTTCCAGTGCTGCTTCTGCAGATCAACACAGTCAGAGTGGTTCTAGCTCTGACAACACAGAGAGGGGAATGTCCAGGTCATCTTCACCCAGAGGAGAAGCGTCATCACTGAATGGGGAATCTCATTAAAGCTTAATTCCTCCAGTTTCTTTAGTCTCTTCTCTTCAAAACATGTGAATACATAACTTATGTCACCTGTTACCACATTTTTATGACAGATTATCCATGCACAATTGGTATGTTGACTGGAACATAATTTATGCAGTTTAAAAAAAATTTAAAAGTGCAGTGGTAGAAATAATAATTTAAATGCAATCTATAAATGCTTACAAAGCATTTTCAGACCAACTTTTTAATCTTCATGTGTAAAGGTGCCATGAAAATGTGGTTTGAATGTTCCTTATGCAGTGTTATTGGTAAGTCCATTTTCACTTTTAGTTTAGTGAATTCTAACACAACTCTTGGGAGTCTCTACTATTGGCATGTACTGAATTTAATTTTTTATAACATAGTTCAAGCTGCCTAAATATGTATTATTTGAGAATTGTGAAACATAGTTATATGTATGCAAGTCAGAGATCAACTTAATCAACTATTGCTGCAACAGAATTTTCATAATAATTATCTTCTTAAAAACACCTGCTGGTACTTGGTGTGGTTAAATAGGAAAAATGTTATTAAATAAAACATTTGTATGAATTTTTGCCAATGTTTGACACATTTTACTAGATTACTGTTACTGAATTATGTTGATGGTTTTACCAATATTTTTTCACACTTAAAACACTTATTGTAATGTTTACAAGCAAAATAGAAAACACATTCTAAGCGTTGATTGGTTAACCTTACAATTCAGGTAAAATACTACATTTGTCACTGTACACTGGTACTCTATGTTGTGTAACAAATATTTGAACCTCAGATGACTATGCATTTGGCAAAACCTAACATTTGGAAATACGAAAGTTTGAAAAAGCTTTAAAAGTAACAGAAGTGCAGTTCTCATTGCTGCTTAGTGCTGTTTCCTTGCCCTAGATTTATCTGGTGTCAGATAGTCACTTAGCATTCATTACACTAATATCAGATGTTGCGCAAGAATAAGGAATTAACAATAGCATTTCTTTTTTTGTTCCTGAATAAATTGATTTTGATTTGGCCTAATAGAAAATACGGTGTCATAAATCATATGAAAAAACACTGTCCCCTATTTTAAGGCATAAACTGCACTTAGCAATATGCTGATACAGAGCAGATTTACAATCTCATCTGGTATTATGTAAAATTACCAATAAAATATTTTTGTGAATACAGATTTTGCATTTTTGTTTACAACCAATAAGTGTTTTGATACATACGTACAATCCATGTATAAATTTTAAATTATAGATTCAGGTTCAGTACAAAAGTCCATTTAGCTCCTTTTAGTGACGTAGTGCGCTCACACTCCTGTTATGCTTTTTCATTAAAAATAAATATATTTTTAAGCCCATGTAAAAGTTGGATGTACCTTCCTGGTAGTGAATCCAGCCCCAAATTATTACCAACGTATGATACGTCTTCTTAACAGCTAAAACAATGGATTTTTGTAGCCCCTGACAATTGTGATGTTTGGTGGTTTCTTGTAGTAATGTATTTTTCTGTTTCTAATGCAGTACTTCTACAGGCACAATGGTACTGTTCTATTTTGTAAGATGCTAGTTGTGAAATACAGTTAGTTGCATAAAATGAAAGTCTGATGTGATATCTGAGAACATACATACCTCATTCCTTGGTGTTGCTGTTTAAACTTTTTAGACATCAAATGTTAATTATAGGCTATTTCAGATGGTTAACTACTGACCTGTTTATTATGTATTCTACTTTATCTTACTAAATAGGATGTCTGTTCAATGCCGTTACCTGGCCAAATCTTAGTATCTGTAAAACAATGCATTTTAAGGTTCTTAAATGTTTTGGGGGCTGGGCTGGTGTTCAGAATAACATACACTAGTTTTTAAAAGAGAAATACCTGCTTCTCAACTTTATTTTTTTATATTTTATTTTTAGGTGTGACTATTTACAGAATATGCTGATGTAAGGGATTACAAGAGAGCTGAAGCTGTTTAAAGTAAGCAGGTCAATGATAGCAAATTTGATTGCAAGATGTTTTATGAAATGTGTTTCTAATTTAAAATGTAATGAATACTAACACATTTCAGAATTCCTTGCAAACCAATCATAATCTGTTACCATTAATTCACTAAATGGGAACGTATTTTAATTAAACTTTATGTGAATAAACCACCCAGCACTGCCGACAAGATATCTCTGTATCTTCAGAAATAAGTAGCTTTTTGGTTTGTAAGGAAGGGAGGATGAAGTGGATTTGGCTCTGATTCAACTGTCTCTAGAGAATGATCTCAGAAATGTGGTACAGGTATGGTTATAATCAAAAGCAATGCAGAAAAGTCTCACCGTTCTTTATGGAATAAGACATAGAAAGGAAATTTCTAACCACAAATACAACACAAGTCATCTCGGATCTAAGAACTGAGCTGTGGTGGTTTTAACTGAACTATTACGTTGCCAGCGTTTACATTGCAATGATGCCTATTTTGGCATTAAGCAAAGTTTAGATCATTTTTGCCTGTTTGTGATTAAAGGGATGTATCAATGCTGACAGCAGAGTAGACGAATTCTAAGTAGTATATGGCATTTGACTCTGTTCATAATGTTATAATTTAAATGAACTTCACTTTCATAATTTGTCGAAAACCTAAGTCCTTTTTGTAACTGTAAATATATTTAAAAGCATCTTTACTCCATTTATAAAAAGTGAAAATTTAATGTTGTAATGTGTTTTGATTAGCTATTTTTCTCTGTGACTGCTCTCTGCATAAGACCTATTATTTGTTAAATTCTATATATGCCCCAGTTTTCAACAGCCATACATTCTGGGTTGTTCATAAAACGGTGACCCAACAAAGACAAGTGTGATAGTGTTCCATGTAAATGTGTTGATTGATTGTCTGGTTTCAGAAAAGAAAAGAGGGGAGAAATGGGGAAAACTGAAGTATAAATAGTTCATTGATAAAATATACAATAATTCAGTCTTGTCTCTTCCTAAGTTTGCCACTAATTGTATGTGGTATAAGGAAAAGAACAAATATGCAGTTGTAGACTATGATCCTTCTTTTTTTTTTTCCTGAAATTAAGTATGTATATTGGAGATAAACAAAAGTTGTTCTACTTAGCAGCAGGTTAAATTATGCCATGTAAAATCTTGATTCTAACAGAAGTGATAGTAAAAATAATTACATTTAAAAAAACTTCTAAAATTATTGATATTAAAAGTCTTGAAATTATGAGTATGACTGAAGTTTTAACCTATTACATGTTTCTTGAGATATTTTATGTCTTGTGGCATGGATTGTAAATTTTTTTTATATATAATTTGTGCGCTTCAGGTTTGTTAATATTATGGGTATTAAATTTTTAGGTAGCCATGTAAGATAGAATACTTTTTAGAACTAGTTTCCACCAGTTCACTATAATATTCAGGCAAGTCTTCTAAACTTGACACAAGCATATGGCTCTGCATCTGAGATTCTTTAATTTTCTTCTACTGTCTCAAAAGCCCAATAGTTCCCCACATTATGCTGATAGATTATATGTTTGTTATCCAGGATGGATTTGGCATGGAACTGTCTGTTGTGTAATTTTTGTATACATCCAGGGTACTTTACCTGTATCTGCTTGGTTTTTTTTCTTGTCACATGCCTTTATTTGACTCTGCTGCCTACTAGGGAGTCTCTGTGTACTTCTGTTCAAATATCAGAAATCATTTGGAAACAAATACAATTTAATTTCTCCAAAGGCAGCAGCAAGTGCTGTACTTGTAGTAAATTTGGCCTGTGGTCACTCAGGATTAAAGACAGGTAAGATAAAAAATTAAGGCTGGTTTTGGCTAAGGGATCAGACAAATACGATACTTTGCAGATGAATACTTCTATATTAATGTTAAGATTTGGGTGTGCTAGAAATAATGTTTGAGCTTCTGAAGGTTTTACTTACCTGCAGTTATGCCCAGACTTATGTCAAAGCAGTCTCAAATTAGCAAAAGCTGTACAGTAAAATCAGTCAAACTGAGAAAGCTCAGCTGGTTTTCTTTTTTACTATCAAAGAGACTTAAGAGATTTGTCTAAGAAAACAGTCAGATATTGAGCTTAGTTTGATGTCTAGAGAAGAACCCATGTTTTAATAAGAATTAACAGGGTTTAAATACTAAATTAAAATTGGCAAAATACTTCACAAGTTAATTACAAATCAGTGATTTACAGAAATTATTGTAACTTCCAGTCTAGAGTGGAGTAAATGGTGCAACAGCAATGGACAGCTGCACGCTTGCTAGTAAGTGGTGTTATCCAACAGCAAGTGATGTTTAAGTGACTTTCCTAAGACATGATGCAAGGAGATTGTGGTAGGTCTGTGAACAAGGTCTAGGAGTCCAGGGGTGCTTCCCTCTGTCTGATCTATGCCATTGGATTCCAACAGTGAAAGAAAATGTAGTGAACAAATAAATTAATTTCAGATCCTAGAGTCTTAATAATGCAGGAGCTGTTCACAGCTTCTGTTTAACTGTATAAATGAAAAGGAATTGAACCACCACTGTACAATACTTAATCCCCCAGGAGATGCTTTCAGTCCTAGTTTTGCCCCTTTTATTAGAGGAAACAGGCAAAACTAATCTGAAAGAACTGTCTGTGTCCACTGATACAGGGGACTGTAAGAGCAGACAGTTTAATGGGCACAAGAAATTTTAGCTGTACTTTAAAGGAGTGAAGCGTGAAAGATGCAGGGCAAAATCATATTCCATAGATCAAATGAGCATTACTAAGAATGACCACAAGAGATTGCTGTACCATTTGGGGTTTGTTAAAAGACAAAATGGTGACATGATTTAATAATTCCTTGTCCCAACTGTTTAAAAAGAAAATGACCACCAGAAAAAAATATAGTTCCAGGATCAATATATTTGTTTGTTAACAATTTAAATAGTACTTCCAAAAAGTTAATTGTTTTGTGGAAAATATGGCATATCTAGACAGAGGTAGGAACATCTGAGCAAGAAACCCTTCAAGACTACATCTTTAGGATCTAGACCACCTGGAAAAGTGTTATCTTTTAATTACACTGTTCTCTGTGTAGAAATACTGATCTTGGTCAATGTACTTGCAAAGTGAACAAGCTCCCTTAACCTTTAAGATTTTAAGAATTGTGGCTTTAGACCAATGGAGCTCAAATTTATACAATAGAGTTAGTGAGAAGACAACTGAGGAAAAGAGTGTTAAGCTGTTTTTTGGTAACCTGCTAACTACGTGCTCATAGTTTTCCATGTGAAGCAAAACTATACAAAAATATATAGAAGAAGGAAATTTATATAACCAGGACTATTGAAATTTGACTCCTTATGGCCTTCCTAAGCTCACTAGCTTATACAAACTACAAATTCTGTTTGGTTCAAAGGCAGGTGCAGATGCTTTGTCACTTGAAAAAGGATGGAGTTGCTCAGTCACTTAGCATCTGTTAAGCAAGTGCTCAGGCCCATTCTACTTTCTGAATACCCACTTTGGGAATACAGAAATTGAATATGCTATTTATATGCATCTAATATAAAACTACCGTCCATGAATAACCTATTTCAAGCTGATCCTTCTTTGCACAGAATAAATGAAAATGCTTCAATGCCAAGCCCAGTTTCTGATAGCACAGATCTCTGAGCAAGAAAATCTGCCATCTCTCTGATCATCTCTTACTGTAACAGCTTTCAGCTATTAATTAATCTCAGCAAGAGAATCCTCTTAAGATTGCATCTACTTTTTGAGTATCACTGCTCTCACTTCTGAAGAAAACACATTCTGATTCCTTCTCTTTTTTCTTTTTTTCTTTTTTTTTAAAGTACATCTATGATAAAGGTGGATGCAGTGAATTTCAGATAATTATTTTGCATGCATTTTTAAGTGGGGAATTTGACTGCTGTTCCTAGTTCTTTAATTGTATTTTGGTTTTTGTAAGACCAACAGTGGTATGTGGATCTTAGAGATCATCTATTAATGCTGACACCATTGTCCTTTCTATATAATTGGCATACTGAACAGATTCTTGCTCAGCAGACCTACTTACACCAATCCTGTACTATTCAAGCATTCTGGCTGAGGCGGCTGGCATTTTGGGATGCCAATTACTGGTCTTCATGTCTGCATTTCTGCAAAGGTCTGATTCTCTTGCTGGGTTACTTCCAAACATGGAAAAATAAGCAAAACACTTTCCAACTGATGGAGGCATAATGGTGCCAAAGAACTTGCAGTACCTGGAGGCTTTTTGAAAGGTGGAAGAAAATACACTCAGTGCCAGCTGGAGAAAGAGACCCAAGGAGCATGCACAGATACTGGGCGCTTTCTAAGCTTTGCTACAGAAACTGAAAATGTCAAAAACCTTCAAAAACCCTCAGTCCAACAGAAAGGCAGAGGAAAAGAACAAAGAAAATGTGTTGTTTGGGGTTTTTTTTTATGTTGTTGTTCTTGTTGTGGTTGTTTTTTTTATTTCAGAATAATACCCAGAAAAGCCACTATAAAATGTCTTCTTGGTGTGCTTAGTATTCCTTTATCTGTGTAGTGTATTGGAAGTAGGCAGTGTCCCACACTTCTTAAAGGTGTGTGTTGCTTTATAATTCTTGATACCTGTTGGTTCAATGACTTTTGGCCTAAAGATAGATGTAGGGTTTTGTGAATTCCATTTTAAATACCATGAACATTTCTCTCTTGGGTACAGATCATTTGCTGAAAGGGCAGTAGCTTTGATTAAAGATCTAGTCGGGAGCAAAATAGATTCCTCCTGTACATTTAGACACTACCAGTTTTAAGGGGTCTGATTCCTGGACTACTAG